ACAAAATGAGAGTAATTTTTTTTTTATGATATATATATATATATATATATATATATATATATATGAATATCCTATATATACTTTATGTCTATTTGTGCAGGATGGTTCGTACTGGCTAGACCTAACAAATAACCTGCTCTTCATTGACCAACACTCTATGCCAACGGTAGTGTCACTTGTCAGATACAGATAGCATTCTCCTTTTACCATTTACAAAGGACACCAAAATGTCAACAATCTCAAGCTACCTCTTCAATTTAGTTGCGTTTATAATTATTTCTTTTTAGATTGATCCATCCATCGATTGATGTTCTCCCTATCAAAAGCCGGACCACTAAAAATATTCCCAAACCATATATCACACACCAATATGCATTATATATATATATATATATATATTCCGTTCAAGAATCTCTCAAATAAACTTATTAAAGAAACATTTTTGTAGAGGTTACTATGCATTATATGTTATTAATTCAAACCGTCTATTATGTATATTACTTAATTATTACCCCACTTTTCTTGTTCATATACCTTTGGTTTCACATCTTATATCATATTTTGGTATAATCTTCTTTCTAAAATCAAATTAGTCATCCTTAAATCTGATCAACTACAGAATGACTGCTTTTTTTTTTTTCATTTTTTTTTTTCAGTCAATTGTAAATTTTAATAATAGAGCATATATATATATATATATATATATATATATGATTGGTGATTGCATAGAAAAGTCTTGGATCCATCTCATCATGATCTCTTTGACACCAAAGATTATATACTTCATCGATCATATCAATGGTCCCGACATTCTGTTGTTACAGATCACACTTGACACATTATGTACCAAACTATTATTTTCGTTTGATGATTTCATTTTTTATTATGGGACATTTTGGTCTTATTTTAGTTTGCTAAATAGCATCTGATTATTAAACAATTAGTTTTAGCCATTTTGTTTCGTGGAAGGTCGTTGCGGAATATGGGACTTACTAATATATATACGCACACGATACACGTACAAAACCTTGTAAAAGACAGATTGTGTGAAAGCAATTTTATTGAAGAAACTATACTTTGCAACCTTAAGCATTCTTTGTTATATTGCCATATATAGTTGTGCATTAGGATCGTTGACTATATGAAACCATATCTGAATGATGATTTACAATTACAGTTTGACAACATAATATATAATACTAGCGATATCACATGTAGGTCTAGGATAAATTTGTAGCATTCCGAACAATTTGAATCAAACATTAATCTAATGGTCACCTCAATTAAGATATTTGGACTTCTCGACATTCTTAACAAGTTTTTTAACTCCGTCCTTTCTAATAAGATACAACTCCTTATAAAGTGAACTTAAGCTCAATGTTTTGTCACTTTATAGTACTTTAGTTTCTTACTTTCATCATACAAACTTTTAATATCATTGTTCTCATAAAAGAATTAAATCACATAATTCAACATATAACATGAAACCATATACTTTTTTTTATCTAATACAAATGAGATCTGAGGCCTGCAAAACTGCGTTATGTGTACACATTTGAGGAGAGAGAGAGAGAGAGAGAGATTCATGCAATCACATAATATGAAATAGAAGGGGTTGTAAATATAGAATTAATTATTTATAATTGAGGAAGAAAAAAAACAAATAAATTAGTTCGTCAATAAAACAAATCATATGAGGTTGGTGTTTGACCAACTTGTTGCGTTTTGACCGGCTTTCAGGAAACAGGAAAAAGCGAGCCACTAAAATCCGGGGGTTTCCGTAACGGAGATGACGTGAAGGCCCAATCAGCAAGACATAGGCGTGAGAAAGGAACAGAATGTCTTTTCGCACGTGCCAACTACGGTCAAATGACGGTGCCCAATCCTTTACACGTATATGCCCTCGAAGAAAACCGTAGCGTATTGAGTTGGACATGCTGGATATCTTGACCACCACACCCCGGTGGTCCCTACCCCCAAAGCTAAAATAATCTGATGCGACTCGGGCAGCTTACCTTTGCCTACAACCACAAACCTGTGGAACTGTGGAAGTGATGGGCTCTCTGATCTGATTTCAATGTCTTATGGCGAATTCTTTGTGATTCTTTTCCAACCTTAAAACGGCTTCTGCAAATTTGGCAGCTCCCACCATTTTACTATTAAATATTTGTTCCTATATATTTTGCAATTTTGTTGATTTTTTTTATTGAGTAGATGAGTTGCCTATATGATTTTATATATTTTGCCAATTTTTTATTTTTTACAAGTGATAATTAAAATTAATCTAATTTATCGGGAGGAGAATTCAAACTTGAGTACAAGAGGGCATGTTCACCATCCCACCAACTACCCTAACTCATTTTACCGGGAGGGGAATTCGAAGTTGGTGATCTAGGACTGCATCCTAAATGTGTTGTTTGCAATAATAGAAACTGGCACGTGTATGTTTACCCACATAAATGTCTTATTAGGACAGAAGTAGAGTAGGGCACAAGTGTGCAAAATAGGCAAAAGCTACCACACATCCCATCCGATCAAACCCTCCTCTCTCTCTCTCTCTCTCTCTCTCTCCCTCCTATTAAAAAAAAAAAGGCAAAGATAAAAATCAAACCTAAAGCTCATTTTCTCTCAAAAGAACAAAGCAAGAATCTCAGCCCCATCTCTCTCACCTCTCAACTTTCTTCTTCTTCTTCTTCTTCCTCTTCTTTCTTCCTATGTCAAATGAAAAGAAAAACCCTTACCAGTATGACCCTTTCGACTACAACCCCCATGAAATCAACAGGTCAAGCTTTCCATTCTTCAATTATGGCACTCCCTCCATACAAGATCCACAAAACCTACATGGGTTCGAATCCGATCACCCCAATTCTTCGTTCATGAGCTTCACTGACTGCCTCCATGGCTCAATGGACTACAACACCCTCTCAAGAGCCTTTGACATGTCATGTTCTTCATCTGAAGTCATTTCTCCCCAGTTGGATCATGAGAATTCCAAGAACCAGCAGGCTGCTGCAGCTGCAGGTGTAGGAGATCACTCGGTGGGGACTAGCACCACCGAAAACCCATCTACACCAAACTCCTCAGTTTCTTCATCATCTAATGAAGGTGCTGGTTCTCATGAACATGAAGATTCAGAGAAGAAGAAGAAAGAAAAGCAGCCAAAAGTGGCAGTGTGTGATGAAGCGGCAGGAGATGAGGAAGACAAGTCAAAGAAAGGGTAGGTTCTTTTTTTGGTTCTTTGTAGCCAGATTCATGGTAAAGGTTAATTAGCAGCTTTTGAGGGATATCACTTGTTACTCCACTATTTTCCACTCTTGGTATATATATATATATATATATATATATATGTATGGATAAATATAGGGCTTGGATTGACTAATATTTTGTCAGGAGGTAGACTGTCATATAAAAGGTAAACAAAAAAAAACTTTTTAGTGCAATTTTCCCCTTGTGTTTTCAACTCACATGTCATTAATTAATACGTCTTTAATTGAAGAGATATTTCTTTAATTATTTTGCTTTCTCATTAGATTTCTGATGATTAACCAATAACCATACATGCAACATCTAGAAACTTCTGGGGAGCAAAAAGGAAAATAATGGGATCTGTGTTCAGAACCCTAAAATCGAGTGCATATACACATCTAATTTGCTTAGATATATGTGATTCAGGAGCAAAGCGAAAAAGAAAGAGAAACGGCAGAGGGAACCACGGTTTGCCTTCCTGACTAAGAGCGAAGTGGATCACCTTGAAGACGGATACAGATGGAGAAAGTACGGACAGAAGGCAGTCAAGAACAGCCCTTATCCTAGGTATACTTAATTATACTTAATTGCCTTTCTTTACAATTTCCACACTAGCTCAACGTACATTCCATTAAAAAAAGATTATTAAAAAAAAAAAAGAAAAAGAAAAGAAAAGAGTCCAACTTATAATGATTTCTGGATGTGTGATGTGAACAATTCTCCAATTTTTCAAACCAGCCGTTATTTTTTGGCCGGTCAATAGGCGTTATTTGATGATCAAATATTTGTTATATGTCATTCATATCTGTAATGGTTACTAGTTAATTAAAACTCTGTTCTATTATATGCAGAAATGATGTTAGCCTTCGCATTAAGCCCTAACTATGTAGAACAGTTAGGGCCCCTTCGATAACCATTTCAATTTTAGTTTTTAGTTTTCATTTTTTGTGCTAAACTATAGCGGAAAATGAGAGTTCGAATGGGAGGATGAGTAACAAACTTGAAAGTGAAAGTAATTTCAAATGGATTTCAATTTTTAGGTTTTGTTATAACTTTTGTTACTCCTCCCTCCCATCCTCCCATCTCAATCCCATATTCCACTCATTTTCTCACTTCCATTCCCCTTCTTTTTCACTTTTGTTACTCATCCCTCGTATTCTCTCTTGCAATCTCATCTTCACTTTCATTCTTTCTCTTTTTCCTCTATACTATAGGACAAAAAATAAAAACTAATAAAAACTAAAGTTGAAATGATTAAACGTAACGGGCCCTTAGTTTGTTTGATTGGCTCTACTTTGTAGTTTGTTCTTTAATTGACATCATTCATTTCTATGTTTGTGATAGAGAAACTTATATAACCTGAACATTAAAAGAGTAATTTGGTGATCTCACACAGCTTTGTAACTACCTTCTTCCATTTTCAGAAGTTATTATAGATGCACTACTCAAAAGTGCGTAGTAAAGAAGCGCGTCGAGAGATCATTTCAAGATCCATCTATTGTGATCACAACATATGAGGGTCAGCACAACCATCAGTGTCCGGCAACACTCCGGGGAAATCTCAATCTCAATGCCGTTGGAATGCTGTCCCCTAATTCCCTTTTGACATCTGCGTCTCTCAATGGATCAGCGAGATTTCAACATGAATTCTTAACTCAGTTTCTCCCAATGAACAACCAATTGCAATTGCAATTGCAAAGCCATCATCATCAGGATGATCACCAAGCAAGTAATTCCATGATATATTCAAACCTCGTGGCCCCTCGCCCTCATCATCATCAGCAGCAGCATCAGCGGCAGCATCAGCGGCAGCAGCTACATGTTCCTGACTATGGGTTATTGCAAGATTTAGTTCCTTCATTTGGTCACAAGCAAGAGCCATGAATTTCATGATCACTACTTTATGATATTTTCAGTTTCTCACTCATGAGTACATCTTTTCCTATCTCATTATTGCAATACTGTCTAATATGTACGCTTTCTCTCTGGTCATCTCTCTTCTTTTAGCACTTAGATTTCCTTTGATATGTGGACTAGGAGACAGTATGGCTCTCAAGAATAGCATTCAATGCCTACGTACTAGTGTACTTCTGACTATTGCATGGAGTGCACATCTATACATATATTTAAATATAAGTTGTTCTTGTTCTTAAAAAGCAGACTTTTAATACATATTAAGCCTCTAAAATATGCATGAGTGAAGGTGCTTGTTTTGAAGGAATGGCAGCCTGTATATATCTAGCTATACTTGACATTTGTTTACTTATAATTTGTACGTATATATATAGTCCTCTTCTATTGAGGGACACCCTTTAAGGTTTCCTACAATTTTTTTTTCAACGATTCAAACCATCTATTTTTAAGTCTACATTCATAGATCCTCGCAAAAATATTAGACAAATTGGAAACCGTTTCGACATCCAATTGTGTTCTACAAAATCAATAATCACGGTACTTCAAGAAAGTACTAAAATTTTAATAACTCAATTGAGTGGTCAAATGATATCATATTCAAGTGATTTTTTGTAGAGATGATCTTTGAAATACAATGCGGAGTGGGCCCTACAAGAGTGTCCCTCAAATAAATTTTTGAGGAATCCTTCAATGGAAGCTCTCATATATATAACTAGCTAGCTAACATTGGAAATGAGGGCTTAAATGTGAGGATTTTTATTCAGACCTCCAAAGTTTTCTACTTAGATAAACCGACTGCGGACCATCCAATGTCCAGCCCCTCCCACCGGGCGGTCCACCATGAATGTCACCAAATTGGATGTCGTGGGTTAACACGAATATATAAAAACTCCCATGCCTGCCAAGTTGCAGCATATACTAACTTGCCATCAATATTATTTCCATATATTTGAGCCTTCTAGCCTCCCCTCAAAGAGGCTCCATGACTCAACGATCTCTAGAACAAAGACTATATATATAGCCACAAGACATGAGGGTAGCCTTGCTGCTACTGAAGAGGCAACTGCTTTAACAGAGAAGAAGAAGCTGACACTAGTAAAAGTTGTCTGAATGTGTACGTAGAGAATGACGTCCATCGGAGGGAAGTTTTACATAAAACCTTAGGACCGCGAAAGTTACTTTATATATCAACCATGATATACCAAACCAACCACCCGTAATCTTGCCTTTCATATAATTAGTGGGATTTGATTTCTAAGGCCCGTCTTTGATAATGTTTTCGGAGAATGTTTTCAGAAAATGAAAATGAGAAAACAAATTTGCATTTTCAGGATTTAAGAATGCATCTAGTAGTTTAATTAACAAACATCTTCTGAAAATGTAAACAGTGAAAATGTGTCTGATAGTACAATTTGATAAAAACTCCAACAAACAATTTATAACTTTTATTAAAATACATCATGGAATTTATATGTGAACTATTTTTTAAAGGAAATTTTTGCTCCTCTACAAAAAAATATTTAAAAATTAGAACAACATTGTAATGTAGTAGAAAAAAAAAACTATCATTTTGGGCTAACGACAAAACACACCTTGATGTTTGGGGTCATTCTTAATATGGGCCTTCGACTTTCAATTTCATCAATTTACACCCTATGGTTTTCACATATGATCAATTTAAGCCTTCCGTTAAGTAGACCGTTTGTTCAGACGTTAACTGATGACGTATCTATTGTAGGACCCACCAATTTTATAAAATAAAAAAACTAAATCAATTATATAAAATGATAAAATCACATAAAATAAAATAAAAATCTACCCAGATCCTAGCCCCTTTTGTGCCTAGCGCCTCCCCAATGTTCCTCACCCCCTCTCGTCGATGCACAATTGCACCATCAATGGCCTGAAAAATCCGATACATCTCAAGTTCCTTGCATTCATGTACCTTCGAAACTTTAGATAATTGAACCTTCATAAGATCCTTGGCATACTTGTATTATGGCAGAATTTGAAGAGCCGATAACTCAGCCTCAATTTGGAGATGGTCCAAGTATCCAAGATTTGTAGCATCAAAGGAATTGAAAAGGCTTCGAATTCTGGTCGCTCTCTCCTCCCTAGTTCCACGCAAGGCCATAAGAACGTGATCCATGAAAATGGGTCCGCATGACATAAAAATGCAATTCTCCTTTTCTTCAAATTCTTCTTTTTCAACCTTCTTCAATGGGAACCAAATCAATCACAAGGCACAAGGAAGGAAGGAGATCCTGGTTTTGGGCAAATAGGTTGATGGGTTTCACAACAATTCAGTCCCACAATTGGGGGGAAGAAAGATAGAGAAAGAAAGGGAAATCGAGAAAATAGGGAAATGAGTGTAAATTGATGAAATTGAAAGCCGATGGCCCATATTGAGAATGACCCCAAACATCAAGGGTGTGTTTTGTTGTTAGCCCTATAATTTTCTTAGAGAACTTTATTTAAAATAAATAAAAAACCTCAACCCCCACATTCCTTTGGCAAAAGAAAAAAAAAAGCGAATCTTCCCCACCTTTTCTTTCACTGTTTCTCTGCAAAACCCACCCCAATTCCATCTAGTTATCTCCTTTCCTCTAACCCTCATGTTACCTATCTCCTTTTGTCTTCCTCCCAATCCCTCTCTGGTTCATTTTTATCTGTCTCGATTGCTTCATCTTGTCCACCTTCTCTACATGGCTCATCATGAAATAGAGCAAAATAAATCCCAGCCCTCAAAGGAAATAAGTCTAATAATATATATACTGATCAAAGAGAGTTGATACCTGTCTAGACCTCAAACTTCATGTGGTCAACGTATGAAATGTAAGTGTTTGTACTTGAAATGAAGAGGAGATTTGATTGCTTGATGGTCTGATGCTTATGTTGGAATAACGACACGAACAAGAGTAATCTTTTATGTATTTGACATATCTTATTCTGTACTTAGGAAAAGGTCAGATGGATTTTTTACACAAATTCAAGCCCTATTTATAGGGAGTTTCACAAGATATTCTTTAGGCCGGTCACCTCGGCTCTGAGCCAAGTCGTTTATGTCACATCAGGCTGTTCTGTCATGTGGTGGATGGTCGGGGTCCTTCCAAGTCCTCCTCTCATAATGGCTCTACACGTTTTGCTAGGGGCCGGGAGTGGGTAGAGTAGTATGCCATGAGCCGCCTGAGTCCTATATGGTCAGGGAACGGATTAGATGATTTATATGTGATATTGGAGAGGACAAGGGTAGTATTTCGAGAGGCGGTGAATCCTCTGTTGTCAGCGGAGGTATTGTCATCGACGTGGCTAACGAATAGCCTTTCATTATGTTTTCCTGGAGGGTACTGAGCCCGAGGTGGTGAGGTTGGGAACCGAGCCGATGTGCATGGTTGGTATTTAAGAGGGCTGGATGACTGCTTTTGCCACCTGGCTAGCGAGGTCCACGTGTTTTGTTCTTATTAGGAAGATGGGCTCGGTCTATACTGAGAGTCAACAAAACCATAATAAATCAACAACTAGAATTTTAGAGAGAGTGGAGAGTGGATGTATGGAAATTTACACAAATAGAGATAGTATAAATTTTTTTTTTGGTCTTAACTGTTTTCCACGTTTTCACTTTGAGTGGTGATATCCCCACTCCTTTTTCTCATATTTTATCCACTTACACTCCTTTTTTATAACTAAAAAAGGAGTGTAAGTGGATAAAATAGGAGTGGGAAAATCATTGCCCTTTCACTTTTGCCATGAAAACAATGAAAACATGTTTTTCTTGTTTTCTAACTTAAAGCACAAATCAAAAATCGTTTCCAAAATATCATTGTTGAAATAAAAAATTTCACAAAAAATAAAATAAAATTCAAATGTGGGGTTTTGATAAGCCCCACAACGCTGGGTGGGTATGGTCCTCACACTATACTTGTTTTCAAAACAAATTCTAAACACAAGAAATCAAATTGTGTCCCTAATCTTATGCCTAAAGAAAAGGAAAGAATCATCCATTCAGTAAATAAAGGAAAATGATAATCTAATAAAGTGGAGGAGGAATCCAATTTGAATGAGGATTATTCCATCTCAAATCTCTCTCGCAATGACTCTATAAAAAGAGAAGAGAGGAAGAAATAAAGAAAAAAATGAGGTGGAGAAAGAAGAAAAAAAGGAGTTGCTGCCGGAAAAATTGCTAGAGCATAAAGATAAAAGAAATTGTCACAAGTATACTTTCATCACCATTGTGTCTGATTCTTGGATGATAAATCCATGGTGGGTGGCAACCCTTGAATCAATTTCTTGGATGTTAATCCATGTTGGGTGGCAACCCTTAAATCAAATTCTTGGATGATAAATCCATGTTGGGTTGCAACCCTTAAATCACATATATGGATAGAAAATTTGTGGGATGATTCCCGTTCAATAAAGTTGTGCCGAGCAAAAGGAAATCCATAGGAGAACAAAAAAATGATGTTATGGGAGTTAATTCCAAAATGTGCAGAAAAATAGGAATGTGCTCTACCTTTGGTTGAGAAAATCACACCAATTCCTTCTCTGTAGCTTCAAATAAAAATGGGAAGTTAGTTCTCCACCACAAGTTGCAGTAAAGGAGTTGATGACATAAACGAAAACAATAGGAGTTTAAACAAAAACAATAGGAGTTTAATCTCTGTTAAGAAGACACACCAATTTCTTCCTTGTATGAGAAAATTGCACAGACCATTCTCTTCTCAATTTGAGTATGTTGCATCGAAAGCAAAGAAAAAAAGAGGAAATTAGTTGTTGCAAATGACAAAGAAGAAAATATGGTGTTGGGAAGATTACTTTGTGTTGTGTTTGCATATAGATAGAGCAAGAAGAAGAGGAGAAGTCATCAAATAAAAAAAGAGAAAGAAAGTTTGAATTCCTCATATTGTGTTTGTGTGCATGCAGACAAAACAAAGGAAAAGTTGCCTATATACAGCTCCATTTGGAAGATGGCTTTGTGTTATGTTTGTTTGCATACAGACTAAATAAAGGAAAAGTTGCCTATATACAGCCCCGTTTGGAAAATAGCTTTGTGTTATGTTTGTATGCATACAAACTAAACAAAAAGAACAAAAAAGGAAGTCGGCAAAAAGAAAGAGCATGTGCCTCTTTGGGTCCCTAGGCTGGTTTTCAATTAAAGTTGTTGTCTATTTTGACTGAAGGAAAAAAAAAGAAGATGCTATTTTATGAAACTCTTGGTTGTGTGGCATGACAAAGAGAAATGTCATGTATGCCTTTTGTTGTGAAAACAAAGATGGCTCTCTAAGAAGATCTGATAGGAAAGCAAAGGAAAATTGGTCTATGGATTCTTGGCCGTGGATAATTATTTCCTAATTCAATCAACACTACAATTCCTTCATGGCTTCAACATCTATAGTCCTAATTCAATTGTGATTGGTTTAGCTAAAAGGGATGAGCTTCACACTGATGACCAGTCATGGGACAACTGATAAAAAATGTCAAGGCCCGAAAACAGATTATTGGGTTGTTTGCCTATTAATTCTCACAAGCCCAAAATATTTAATAGGTTATCCAAATAAACACCCATTAAATTTATAGAGGCCCAAATAATTTTAAACTCTTTAAAGCCATAGTTGGGTCCAAATGCAAATGTCAATTAAAGAAAATTAATGGGTTCATCAAAATTATTCATTAACTTTTTTTTCTTAGACATTGACAATAAGAAAAATGTTACAAAACCATCAAATTTTTCCCATGGGTCATTTACCTATAAAAATCTCTAAATTGTCTCACAGACAAATTCTAAATTAGTGGATCACACTTACCCATTAATTTTCAAACTTTGGAACTACGTTGGTTTGATCCCATCATGAGTACGTAAGTAGTCTAGCATCTCACTAGATGCAACTGCAACCAATTTGAGTCCCTGGTTCTTTGAACCAAATTCCCCCAAACACTTTTTCCAAGAGGAATAAGTCATTCATTCATTGCAATTCCGAACTACGTTAGTTTGATCCCTTCGAAAGGGTACGTAGGCAATTTAGAACTCAATCTATATGTAATTACCCAAATCTTAAATTCAAACAGATCCCTGGTTTATTCTTAACCAAATTCGCCCCAAACACAATTCCATATTGAATCCCTGGTTTATTAAGCTAAATTCACTCAAACATTCCTCAATTCAATTCAAATTAAAATTTCGTTGCAATGAGTCATTTATTCATTGCAATTCTTTAAACTACGAGTGGCTTGATTCCTGCAAGGGATACGTAAGCACCTTGATGTTGGACTTAGGAGCAGCCATAAAACTAAACACACACGTTCTGTTTCTTTATGATAGAATCAAAAGATGTTTCTTTGAAGCAAGAGATTGTAATTAAGAGACACCACATCTCGAAAGGGTCGAACCTAAAATAATAAACCCTCATTATTTAAATAGTAGTGGTGAAATTATGTTGGGAGGTTCACATTTTTCTTCAACAATCATTTTCTGTGTTTTGGGAAACTCCTCGCCAAACGCATTTCGAGGATGTTTTGATTCCCGCAAAGCAGAAAACGAGGCCCCAAAACATTACTGAATGGCACTTAAATTTTCTGGTCCTCACTTAGACTTAAAATGTAGGCAACTTATATATTAGAGTAATTATAGTATAGTACGGGTAGTATTATTCACATGTTATAATATAAATGAATATTATGGGAGTTAATTCCAAAATGTGCAGAAAAATAGGAATGTGCTCTACCTTTGGTTGAGAAAATCACACCAATTCCTTCTCTGTAGCTTCAAATAAAAATGGGAAGTTAGTTCTCCACCACAAGTTGCAGTAAAGGAGTTGATGACATAAACGAAAACAATAGGAGTTTAAACAAAAACAATAGGAGTTTAATCTCTGTTAAGAAGACACACCAATTTCTTCCTTGTATGAGAAAATTGCACAGACCATTCTCTTCTCAATTTGAGTATGTTGCATCGAAAGCAAAGAAAAAAAGAGGAAATTAGTTGTTGCAAATGACAAAGAAGAAAATATGGTGTTGGGAAGATTACTTTGTGTTGTGTTTGCATATAGATAGAGCAAGAAGAAGAGGAGAAGTCATCAAATAAAAAAAGAGAAAGAAAGTTTGAATTCCTCATATTGTGTTTGTGTGCATGCAGACAAAACAAAGGAAAAGTTGCCTATATACAGCTCCATTTGGAAGATGGCTTTGTGTTATGTTTGTTTGCATACAGACTAAATAAAGGAAAAGTTGCCTATATACAGCTCCATTTGGAAGATGGCTTTGTGTTATGTTTGTTTGCATACAGACTAAATAAAGGAAAAGTTGCCTATATACAGCTCCATTTGGAAGATGGCTTTGTGTTATGTTTGTTTGCATACAGACTAAATAAAGGAAAAGTTGCCTATATACAGCCCCGTTTGGAAAATAGCTTTGTGTTATGTTTGTATGCATACAAACTAAACAAAAAGAACAAAAAAGGAAGTCGGCAAAAAGAAAGAGCATGTGCCTCTTTGGGTCCCTAGGCTGGTTTTCAATTAAAGTTGTTGTCTATTTTGACTGAAGGAAAAAAAAAGAAGATGCTATTTTATGAAACTCTTGGTTGTGTGGCATGACAAAGAGAAATGTCATGTATGCCTTTTGTTGTGAAAACAAAGATGGCTCTCTAAGAAGATCTGATAGGAAAGCAAAGGAAAATTGGTCTATGGATTCTTGGCCGTGGATAATTATTTCCTAATTCAATCAACACTACAATTCCTTCATGGCTTCAACATCTATAGTCCTAATTCAATTGTGATTGGTTTAGCTAAAAGGGATGAGCTTCACACTGATGACCAGTCATGGGACAACTGATAAAAAATGTCAAGGCCCGAAAACAGATTATTGGGTTGTTTGCCTATTAATTCTCACAAGCCCAAAATATTTAATAGGTTATCCAAATAAACACCCATTAAATTTATAGAGGCCCAAATAATTTTAAACTCTTTAAAGCCATAGTTGGGTCCAAATGCAAATGTCAATTAAAGAAAATTAATGGGTTCATCAAAATTATTCATTAACTTTTTTTTCTTAGACATTGACAATAAGAAAAATGTTACAAAACCATCAAATTTTTCCCATGGGTCATTTACCTATAAAAATCTCTAAATTGTCTCACAGACAAATTCTAAATTAGTGGATCACACTTACCCATTAATTTTCAAACTTTGGAACTACGTTGGTTTGATCCCATCATGAGTACGTAAGTAGTCTAGCATCTCACTAGATGCAACTGCAACCAATTTGAGTCCCTGGTTCTTTGAACCAAATTCCCCCAAACACTTTTTCCAAGAGGAATAAGTCATTCATTCATTGCAATTCCGAACTACGTTAGTTTGATCCCTTCGAAAGGGTACGTAGGCAATTTAGAACTCAATCTATATGTAATTACCCAAATCTTAAATTCAAACAGATCCCTGGTTTATTCTTAACCAAATTCGCCCCAAACACAATTCCATATTGAATCCCTGGTTTATTAAGCTAAATTCACTCAAACATTCCTCAATTCAATTCAAATTAAAATTTCGTTGCAATGAGTCATTTATTCATTGCAATTCTTTAAACTACGAGTGGCTTGATTCCTGCAAGGGATACGTAAGCACCTTGATGTTGGACTTAGGAGCAGCCATAAAACTAAACACACACGTTCTGTTTCTTTATGATAGAATCAAAAGATGTTTCTTTGAAGCAAGAGATTGTAATTAAGAGACACCACATCTCGAAAGGGTCGAACCTAAAATAATAAACCCTCATTATTTAAATAGTAGTGGTGAAATTATGTTGGGAGGTTCACATTTTTCTTCAACAATCATTTTCTGTGTTTTGGGAAACTCCTCGCCAAACGCATTTCGAGGATGTTTTGATTCCCGCAAAGCAGAAAACGAGGCCCCAAAACATTACTGAATGGCACTTAAATTTTCTGGTCCTCACTTAGACTTAAAATGTAGGCAACTTATATATTAGAGTAATTATAGTATAGTACGGGTAGTATTATTCACATGTTATAATATAAATGAATATTTATTATACAAATTTATAAATAAACCCAATCTTAGACATGTATTTATAAAAAAAACCCAAGTACTATTTAAACATAGAAACACACCCAAAATCAACCCCAAAGTCAACTTTTTGGGTGTGTTTATAAATGAGTTTTGAGTGTGTGTAATGATGAGTTTTGGGTGTGTTTATAAAGTGTTTTGGGTGTTGGGTTTTTTTATAATTTCAACCTCCATTTTGGGTGTTTTAGTGAAACTCCCTATTTATTAATACTATTTCCTAAATGGGCCCATTATAACACATGCACAATATATACTACTTAGCCGTAGGATTCTATAATTCCCCATATATTGGTGGTGGTGAAGCACTAAGCTTTTGTAACACCAAACGTATGTAACTAAGAAAATTAATAAATTATTATCCCATTTGTTTGGGCTGGATTAGCGCACCGGATTGGCTTCAAATGGCCCAATCTTGTTTTTGCCGGTTGCAATGGGGACATTTATCCAGCCCACCACCATTTATCAGTCTGTTGTTGATATAAGTGTCTTAAATAAAGTCACGCGCGGCCCACATATTTGTTACCCTACCTACCTGAGACTGAGAAGAGAAGCAAATATTCATTTTCTTTTGTCTGTGAGTTGGGTGCGCCCAAAACCCATTAATAACCTAGAGGATAACGGTCTTCTTCTTGTTGGTGGTCCTTTCCACATAGCTCCCAAATGTGTTGTTGCTCCACTTTTACATCAGAGCCAAAATGCACTTGACCATATTTACATATCATATACTGTAGTCTATATTTCTTTTATACAAGCAAACACAACTCGAAATCATTCTAATTTACGAAAGAGGAGGCTTGAACTTGAGTGCATGG